GGGGTATGCACGCTTCGAGGCTTGTTTGACCTTGAAATTGGGTTGGACTGTCCGTGAGCATAACCAAGGTCTAGACGGATGTCCACTAAAACTTTTGGAATTTTTACATCGTAATACGGATCACCCAAAAAATTATTTGCAATAGCACACGAAAACCGTCTAAATGGGGGTATTTGTGCTTCGGGGATCGTTTTACCTTGAAAATGGGTCGGAATGGTCATGAGGGCCGACCAGCTGCATAACTAAGGTCTATATGGACGTCCACAAAAAATTTTAGAATTTTTGACGCTGGAATCCGGATAACACAAAAAATGATTTGCTATATCACACGAAAATCGTCTAAATTGGGGGTATGCGCGCTTCGTTGCTCGTTTGACCGTGAAAATGGGTCGGACTGGATGTGAGGGTAAACCGGCTTCATATCTTAGGTCTTAACGGACGTCCACAAAAAATATTGGAACTTTTGATGCCAGAATCCGAATCACACAAAAAATGGTTTTCTATAGCACACGAAAATCGTCTAAATGGGGGGTATGCGCGCTTCAGGGATCGTTTGACCTTGAAAAAGGGTCGTACTGGACGTGAGGGAAAACCGTTTGCATAGAAAAGGTCTTGAAGGACGTCCTCAAAAAATATTAGAATTTTTGACGTCGAAATCCGGATCACCCAAAAAATGGTTTGCTATAGCACACGAAAATCATCTAAATGGTGGGTAGGCGCGCTTCGGTGCTCGTTTCACCTTCAAAATGAGTTGGATTTTCCGTGATGGACAACTAACTGTATAGCCAAGGTATTGACGGACGTCCACAAAAAATTTTGGAATTTTTACGCCGGAATCCGGATAAGACAAAAAATGGTTTGCTATATCACACGAAAATCATCTAAATGGGGGGGTATGCGCGCTTTGGGACTTGTTTGACCTTGTAAATTGGTTGGACTGGCTGTGAAGGCCAATCCGCTGCATATCCAAGGTCTTGACGGACGTCCACGAAAAATTTCAGCATTTTTGGCATCGGAATCTGGAACTCCCAAAAAATGGTTTTCTATAGAACACGAAAATCGTCGCAATGGGGGGTATGCACACTTCAGGGCTCGTTTGACCTTTAAAATGGGTCGGATTGACCATGAGGGCCAATCATATGCGTAGACAGGGTCTTGAGGGACATCCACATAAAATTTTGGCATTTTTGACGCCGGAATCTGGATCACCCAAAAAATGGTTTGCTATAGCTCTCGAAAATCGTCTAAATTGGGGGTATGCACGCTTTGAGGCTCGTTTGACCTTGAAATTGGGTTGGACTGGCCGTGAGATCCAACCGGCTGCATAACCAAGGTCTAGACGGACGTCCACTAAAATTTTGGAATTTTTTACATCGTAATCCGGATCACCCAAAAAATTATTTGCTATAGCACACGAAAATCGTCTAAATGGGGGTATGTGTGCTTCGGGGCTCATTTGACCTTGAAAATAGGTCGGACTGGTCGTGAGGGACAACCGGGTGCATAGCTAAGGTCTAAGCGGATGTCCAAATGAAGGGTATGCGCGCTTAGGGGGCCGTTTGACCTTGGAAATGGGTTGGACTAGCCATGTAGACAACTCGGCTGCATAGCCAAGGTCTTGACGGACGTCCACAAAATTTTTTGGCATTTTTGACTTCGAAATCCGGATCTCCCCAAAAATGTTTGATGTAGAACACGAAAATCATCTAAATGGAGGGTATGCGCGTTTTGGGGCTTGTTTGACCTTGAAAATGGGTGGGACTTGCCGTTAGGTCAAACCAGCTGCATAGCAAGGTCTTGACAGATGTCCACAAATTTTTTTGGCATTTTTGGCATCGGAATCCGGATCTCCCAAAAATTGTTTGCTATAGCACACGAAAATCGTCTAAATGGGGGGTATGCGCGCTTCGGGGTTCGTTTGACCTTGAAAATGGGTCAGCATGGCCGTTAGGGCCAACCGGCTGCATAGCCAAAGTGTTGACGGACGTCCATCAAAAATTTTAGTATTTTGGCATCGGAATCCGGATCTCCCAAAAAATGGTTTGCTATAGCACAAGAAAATCGTCTAAATGGGGGGTATGCGCGCTTTGGGGCTCGTTTGACCTTGAAAATGGGTAGAACCTGACGTGAGGCCAAACCGGCTGAATAACCAAGGTCTTGACGGACGTCTACAAAAAATTTTGGAATTTTTGACGTCGAAATTTGGATCACCCAAAAAATGGTTTGCTATATAGAACACGAAAATCTTCTAATGGGGGGTATGCGTGCTTCAGAGATAATTTGACCTTGAAATTGGGTTGGACTGGGCGTGAAGGACAATCAGTTGCATAGCCAAGGTCTAGACGGACGTCCAGAAAAAAATATTAGAATTTTTGATGTCGAAATTCGGATCACCCAAAAAATGGTTTGCTATTGCACACGAAAATCATCTAAATGGGGGGTATGCGCGCTTCGGGGCTCGTTTGACCATGAAAATGGGTCGGACTGGACGTGAGGGCAAACCGGCTTCATATCCAAGGTCTTGACGGACGTCCACAAAAAATATTGAAATTTTTTATGCCGGAATCCGGATCACACAAAAAATGGTTTGCTATAGCACACGAAAATCGTCTAAATGGGGGGTATGCGCGCTCGGGACTCGTTTGACCTTGAAATTGGGTCGGACTGACCGTGAGAGCAAACTGGTTGTATAGCCAAGGTCTTGACAGACGTCCACAAAAAATTTTGGAATTTCTGACATCGGAATCTGCATCACCCAAAAAATGGTTTTCTATAGCACACGAAAATCGTCTAAATGGTGGGTACGCGCGCTTCGGGGCTCGTTTGACCTTGAAAAAGGGTCGAACTGGCCGTGAGGGACAATCGTATGCATAGCCAAGGTCATGACGGACGTCCACAAAAACTTTTGGCAATTTTGACGTCGAAATCCGGATCACCCAAAGATGGTTTGCTATTTTTGACGTCAAGATACATAAACTTCATAACCTTAACATGATTGCCAAATAACTTCATAAAGTTTCAGACATTTTCAAAGATAAATTATAATTTTATAACGTCAAAAAGATGCCTTAGTAGAATAAACTTTTTCAAATATGATAATGTATAGTAAAAGACATGTTTAGAAACAAAAAAAAATAAGAAAATTGAATATTGAATTTTTAGAACAATGGTGATAGGCGTGTTTTTTAGAACATTGTGAATTAAGACAAAAGAGATGGAAGTTGTTGTATTTTGATAAATTGTCAATTAATTCTTTGTTTTTGAATTTTTGTAACTGATAAAACTTTATAGCAATTGTTTCTTTTTAATATTTTTGTCTCCCCTTAATTTCTCCTTTCTGTTTTTAACAATTGTTTCTTTTTTGACATTTTTAGTAAATATTGAAAATATTTACAATGACTATTAAATGTCAAAATATTGACATTTTGAAAATTTCTTCTTTTAATTTGACGGATCTGACGACCCAACCATTCCAAGGGTTGCAGGCATCCAAATTTTTTTCAAAAAATAAGGGATTTTTCATTGTTTTTGAAAAACAAATTCTAATCCAAAAAGTGTGAACACAAATATTTGTAAGATTATTAAGTCGCAAATTAAAATCAAATTATCCTAATATTTTAGTAAATATTGAGTATGAACCATCCAATACTTTCAAATGTTAGAAATGTCATTACATATGGGACATTCGTATTGCATTGATTGGTTTTCAATACAAATTTTAGTCGCTTATTGTATCTCTTTATTGTTCTATTAATCTTAATACAAGATAATGATATATAATTCAAGTTTGACATCATATAAAAATGGGAAAATTGTATAAAATAGCAAACTAATAACCTAAATTAAATGGAATAGCTAGGGTTTGATTTAATTGTGCTCCATAGCAAACGTTGGCAAAAATTTGCCAGGCGTCTCTCTCCCAGAAGTCTCGCTCGCCACTCTCTCATTCTCGCCTCTCTCGCTTTATACACAGAAGTGTATAATTTCTGTTTCTGTTTTGTATAAAGCGAGAGAAAATTGTATATACACATGCAAAAATTTATATCTTCTTGTTATACACTTAATTATATAATTTACAAACATTTTACTTCAAATATTGCAGAGAAAAAGGCCAAAGAATTATACAATTGTGAATTATACAATTGCAGTGAAATACAATTTTTTTCTAGCTTTATACAACAGAAGTGTATATATTGTGTTTCTGTTTTTGTATAAAGCGAGAAAAACATATATCTTCTTGCTATACACTTATAATTATGCAATATACATACATTTTAATTCAATTCAACTGTATGCAAAGCTAATTATATAATTGCAGCGAAATAGGCCAGCGAATCATACAATTTAGGCCAGCGAATTATACACTTTTATATGTATAGCGAATTATACAGTTTTTATGTTTGCTATGGAGCGCAATTATGCAAAGTTTGCTATATTATACAAATATGATTTTTTTTGTTTGGAAAGTTGCCCTATAAAAATACACTATTGTTGCTTCGGCTATTAGAATTTAGAGATTACAAATTATCAATTGAACGTACTTTGTATTGGCATTTTACTACTTTGTTTTTGGGCTTTGCAATGTTGCATGAAAACTACTAAGACTTTTCGATCAGCCCAATCTTGTTCGAGCCTCACAAGCGGCCAAACAAGAAGGCTTCATTCGAACTAAACGCTGAGGAGAAAGCAGGGACCGTATGCTGGTATTAAGACATCGATTACGCACAAAGTCCACATAAAAAACTGCAACGCCTTACTCAAAAATCTTGGTCAAAACCAAAAAGGACAAAAATACTTTTCCGATAAGACAGGGTATAGGAAGCAGCACCATAACATTCCAACTCAACATACGGTCGAAAGAACAAGTTCATCTGATTAACCCAACTCTCAAAATAAAAAAACTTATTGCTTATGCTTTAAGTTCAATTTGCAAGAGTAATTTCAGGCAACTACAGTTATATGTTCCATGCACCTTAAAACATATGGTTTCACCAAAGATGAAAAGGCAAGCACAAAGAGAAATGAATCTCCTGCGAAGCTTTACAAAAAAGCATGAATTACCAAGTTCCACAATGACATAATTCAACATACGGGAAAGAAATTAGTAATAGATAAAACAGCTGGAAAATCCATATCTTGGTCTATGATAATGTATGGATAAAACATAGGCAAAGAACCAGATGCAAAATTTTCAGATGTCACAACAAAACTCAACTTAAACAATGTGATGCTCTAAAGACTACCACCATATTGGGTAACGTAACTCGATGGATGAAACAAGTCTAAGATCCAGGAACCTCGGCCTCTGCCTCAGCTACTGTCTCATCAGCTGGCCGATCCAACTTCACACCAACATCTTCTGAATAGTCACCATGAACCTACAACATGAACTCTCGATCAATAACACAACAATTACAGCTATAAAATGAAATGACAGTGAACTTCGCAATGCATATATTGTCTACAGCAAATGATGAACAGACAGATATTATACCTCCATCAGCTTGCCAAGGTCAAATTTAGGGGCCTTGAGGATCTTGACCTTTCGAATATAGACATTTTGTAGGGGGAAGATGCTGGAAGTTGCTTTCTCAATCTCCCTGCCAATTGATTCGGGGATGAATTTTGCAACTAACTCCTTCAAGTCACAGGAACTGGCTTGGTTCCTCATGATCTCAACCATCTTCCTGCGGATCTACAACACAAGATAAAAATTCTTGTCAGCGACCAAAAATGAACTTCGCACGACATGAAGACAACAATAAGGATAAATGTTTGCACAAGTGCAAACCAAGCAAAAATACTATACCTGACGGATCTGGCTGCTCTGGGCATAGCAGGTACGCTTCTGTTGGTTTGGACGCTTCTTTGTAAAAGCAATACAGAACATCCTTAGAGTATAGCTGTCTGTAGTCTTGACATCAACATGGGCCTCAATCAAAGTCTGCCATTTGCGGACCAGAGACCTCAGCTTATCTGTTGTGAAATCCATTCCCTGTAATTATATAACAAAAATAGAGCTCAATATATAGTCATATGTGACAACTCTGAAACAGTGAACAAAAGATTGACTAAAAGGAACATCTTACATGGAAGTTTGTGAGAACATTCCTCCCTTGCACATCTTCTGCTCTCAAACGGATTTTCCTGAAAGCCTGATCCTCATCCTTCTGAAGATCAGCCAGGCTAACTTCAAATACTCTGTGTTTTAGACCCTCTGAAGCAATCTAAAAGTAATATCAAACAATTGTTCCCATCAGAAAAAGCACAAACAATTATAACTTGCTTATACAAAGAGATGAAAACACCAATTTCCATATATAAGAAAATACAACAACATACCCAGAGCTTATATCTATGAATAAGTTCTCTATTTTTTAGGGTGGTGGAGTTAACAATTGCAGAAGCGGCAGATATCACAAAACAAAGCAAAACAATATAAAAAGCTAGTGAAAAACTTCTCTACATATGTGGTCAGCATATACACTTATCACTTACAGGAAGCGAGAAAGAAACAAATGGCAACAAGGTAATTGACATACCAACGTTCATTAGATACGAGTTACAGAATCACAATGGCACATCTTAATATGAAATGAAGGAATTTGATAGCATATATAACAAAGTAAATGTTCTAGCACTCAGTGAGAGGTACATTGTAATACGGCAAACCAGTCCTCTCCAACTAGCAACACTAATTATAAAATAAAAAACTGGTCAAGTCGAGATGAATTGACAATAGAACAATTTTCTGACCAAATTTCTCACTCATTGCTCAAATTGACAAACATTTAATCCTTAAATACCAATAACAAGAATTTCTCCTCCATTCACTCACAATATGAATGCATATCTTTTCGTTAATTAGTCAACATTATACATCAGAACTAAACAGAATGCAAAACATACCCAAACGAAATAATACTATAAAATAAGCATTAAAACACAATATCAACAGAATCATAAGGAAAACAAAATGAGAAGGGAATAAATACCTTGGTACCCTGAGTCCTGGTAACAAGGGTTTTGCCGACGTTCTTAATTTCAAAAACAGATGGTGCCTTGATGTCATACCAGTCCTTCTTTGCGTAGGGATCCGCCCTGCCAACATTCACACAGACAAACACAAATTAGTAAACCACATTACACATACACACACAAAAAGGAACCAGGATTTTGGTGTTAGTACTACTTACGCCTTCTTCTTTCCTCCCTTCTTTCCCTTGGAAATCCTCTTGTTCTTGCTGTACAATGAGACAATAAAACAGGATTAAAATTAGAAAAAAAGTAGAAGAGAAGAATCAGGAATATGGAGTGAGAGTTAAAGCGATATACCCGACGGCCATGTTGGAAAGAAGAGATTTGCTCTGCTTTGGGGGGGGTTTGGGGGAAGGGGATGGATGAGGCGAGGCTAGAGAAGCTGCGGAAGAGAAACCCTAGTTTCAGTGAAAGAGTGATGAAAAGCTTTAAACATGGTTATATATATGTTGGAATGAGAAAATCGGCCACTGGTTTTAGGTTTAATTACGATAATACCTTATATCCCCTGCGTTTCTTCTTTTATTTTATTTTATTTTATTTTGGGATAAGGAATTGTTATTTTAAAAAAAAAAAGTCACATAAAGCCTAAAAAAAATTTAAAAGAAAAAATAACATTTTATAAATCCATTGAATAGTGTATTGTCCATTTGCTTTCTTCATAAACTTATCTTATCATTCATCTACATTTTCAAGGTGGCATGAACCTTTGTAGATAACTATGTACCTGTTAATTGGGCATTTATCATGGTGACCTTTGATAGTGATATCTTAACACTATAAATAGGGATATCACTCACCATTTGAAATACACACTTGAATAAGAAAAATTTTCTCCTCTATCTTATACTTTTTGTCTTCTTCTTCTTATATTCTGAGTTTTTTTATAATACGTTATTAGCACGAAGTTGCTACTTGCAAAGGTATTATATAAATCTTTTTATTTAATTCACATATTCTCTCATAATTTCATTATGTCGAATTTATCCAAGCTTGAGTTTGCGGCATTAAATATTTCTGCAAAGAATTATCTTTCATGGGTACTCGATGCTGAGATTCACTTGGCTGCTAAAGGTCTTGATGTCACTATTACTCAGGGAAATGAAGCATCGAGTTAAGATAAGGTGAAGGCTATGATTTTCCTTCGTCATCATCTTGATGAGGGCCTGAAGATTGAATATCTAACGGTAAAAGATCCACTTGAATTGTGAACTGATTTGAAGGGGAGATATGACCACCTAAAGGCAACAGTGTTGCCAAGAGCTCGTTATGAGTGGATGCATTTATTATTTCAAGATTTTAAGATCGTAATTGAATACAACAACCTCCCAGTTGAAATTATGTGAGGAGACTATAAAATATGATGACATGTTGGAAAAGACACTTACTTTCCATGGCTCAAATGTGATATTGCAACAACAATATCGTGAAAAGAGTTTTCAGAAATATTCTGAACTAATCTCATGATTTTGGTGGTTGAGCAACATAATGCTCTTTTAATGAAAAATCATGAAGCTCGTCCCACTGGAGCTGCTCCATTACCGAAGGCAAATGTGATAGGAAAACATGATCAATCTAAAGTAAAAAGAGATGATCATCGGGGCTATAATAATGCACGGGGACGTGACAAAGATAAGAGACGATACACTAATCGTCGAGGTGGTGGTCATAATAAAAGGGAGAACAACATGAGATCTCAAAATAACCTCCCTCAAAAAGTAATTGTCGTCGTTGTGGCATGAAAGGCCATTGGAAGAATGAATGTCGCACACATGAGCATTTTGTAATGCTCTATCAAAATTCCTTTAAAAAGAAAGGAAATAACAGTGGTGTTTCCTCTTCCAATGCTCGAGCTGAGTGACATATGACTCTTAAAGATGATGATAAGCCGGGAACATCTCAGAAATATGATAAGGATGTTGAAGCAAATTTGGCTTTAAAGGATGATATTTTTTTTATGATCTTGGTGACATTACTCATACGAAAGTTGATGACTTTTTTGGAGATCAAAACTGATGTTTGATCTTTTAGCTGGGGAATGAAGTCTGTTAATATTTTACATAATATTTTAGTTATGTGTTTTTAATTATTATGTTATTCATGTTGAAGTATTTAAATTTTCGTTGTTAGTTTTGTTTCTTCCTTCTTTTAATGTATTTTATTTTAATCAAAATTAATAGAAATCCCCAATTGTCAGTTGGATTCAAGATGAGTAATGGAGATGTATGCCTTCTTGATAGTGCTACAACGCATACAATATTAAAAGAAAAGAAATACTTTTCTAATTTGGTTATAAAAATGACATATGTCAACACAATATCAGGTAGTACAAAATTAATTGAGGACTCTGGAAGAGCGGCCTTATTACTATTGGGAGGGACAATATTAACCGTTGATAATGCATTATATTGTAGTAAGTCTCAAAGAAACTTATTTAAGTTTCAAAGTTATTCACCAAAATGGCTATTATGTTGAGACAATTAATGAAGGAAATGTTGAATACCTTTACATTACTACAATTAATGTAGAGAAGAAAATTGTGCATGAAAAATTACCTGCACTTTCTTCTGGGTTGTACTATACAAGTATAAGTACAGTTGAATCACATGTCGTGGTAAACAAAAGGTTTACTAATTTTAATGATTTTATCATTTGGCATGACCAATTGGGTCATCCCGAATTTAATATGATGTGCAAAATCATTGAGAATTCATATGGGCACACTTTAAAGAGCCCAAATATACTTCAATCAAAGAAATTCTCTTGTGCTGCTTGTTCTCAAGGAAAGTTGATCATTAAACCATCAAAAGTTAAGGTTGGAACTGAATACCCTGCGTTTCTGAAACGTATACAGGATGATATATGTGGACCAATTCAACCTGCATGTGGACCCTTTAAATATTATATGGTCTTGATAGATACTTCTATAAGATGGTCACATGTGGCTTTTGCGAGATTGTTTTAAACTTCTACTTCCAAAATTGAAATGTTGACTTAATCTATTTAGGTCAAGTTTGATAGTTTATCTTTATTTCAAACTATTTTATCAAATTAGAAGGCAAAATGTTCTGGGAGCCTTTTTACTTATCTCAAATTATCATCCTGGCATGCACTCCAATTTTGTCAATTAAATATTTAAACTTTTTAAAACTTTAACATTTTAAATTCCTTTTTCATCTTATCAGTGTGTTTTTGTAATACAAACAACTACATGTTTTATTCCCCAATATCTTTTAATGACATATGTGAAATAAAATATTAAAAATTTATTCTTACCAGAAGTACTTTTTGCAAAACATTTGTTCCAAATAAGCTGATTTTAAATATGGAGCTGCATTTTCAGTACTCATGATTTATTTTATCTTCCAATTATATACATCTGCATTGAGTGATATATTTTAGATATAAATATAGCTATCCTCTAATAATAAACTGGCTTTTTGGATGATTAGAGTAACTAAAAATAAATTCTGGGATTCTACATCATAAACACTAGTATTTTGAATTAAGTTAAAAGATAACACAAATGAAAACAAGAGTTGTGAAAGTCCTATAAGCAAAGAACAAGAAAGAGGTCAAAGTCACTATACACCAATCCAGTCAGATATATGAAAGAGATTGATTTATTCATAATCTACAATATGAGATGACAAGTGCATTTAGAGGTTTTCAAGTCTAATTGGAAACCATGCTTTCAGTTTCTTGCACAAAGCCATCTCCTGTCCAGTCTTTGTCTGATTGTAAACCTTTCTTAACTGCTTTCCTTTGACGTATTGCTTCTTGCTGCCTTCTCACCAAATCTGTGTGTGTCGTGAAGTACTCAAGTGACGTTCTGTGCATAACACAAATTCAAATTGTAAACAAGAGAATCTTATCATTATGAGTTACTACGGAAGTGTACATATAGCTTTATGCAGTAGCACTGGGAAGCTCAAACTTGAAGTGCTGGGACAAGTTAATAGAAACCATATAAGTGAATCTTATAGGGAGAAAGTTCAGAACCTACTAGATAATGCAATCTAGTTATTGATATTCCAGCTGAGCGTTAATTCTATTCTTTCAACGTTTAGATGGATCTAATGTCTCTTCGTATGTGTGCGCGAGTGTGAGAGAGAAAGAGAGAGAGATTACCCCCTGAAATCTTCTATTGATGAAAAGTTGTGCTTTCTCATGAAATCTTTCAGCTCAGAGCACAACGTTTTCACAAGACCATATCCATGCATCATGACACCGGTACAAACCTACATAATAAACCAATAAAGATTTTATCATTCCAAGATAATTCCATGTTAAAAAGGATGGAAGAGGGGGAAAGAAAAGAACAAACAAACAAATTAAGAGGAGTTGTTCATGTCTCTTCACCATTTTACTGAAATATCATTAAATTGTTTTGAAGATTTCTCACTTGTGTTAGATCGCAGCTCAGAAGAAATTTTTATTTAGTCGAAGTCAAATGGGGACAAGGAAAAGTCCTAAATTTGGTTTAGCCACAAACATACAGTAAACGGTCAGTTTCTAATCCAACCTGTACAGTATCTGCTCCGAGAAGAATAAACTCAGCAGCATCACCACCTGTCTCAACTCCCCCAATAGCAGAGAGTGAATAGTCCTTATCTCCGAATTCTGACTTCATCATCCGTGCAATGTTCATTACTTTTGCAAGGGCAATTGGATGCACTGCCTTTGATGAGTAGCCTCCAGGAGTAGAGTAGCTAAGGAAAACAGTAGAAAATGAATTGCCGGAATCATAAAAGCAGAAAATTTTAATTCAGCATACTTCTCAATGTAGAGATACTAACCCCTCAACACAAGGCTCGGGCCTCAAGGTGTCGAGATTGATTCCCATTACACTCATGATTGTATTTATAGCAGATACCCCCTCGCACCCTTGGTTAAGAGCCACCCTAGCCGGCTACAAGCCAAGAAGAAGAAATAAGAAACACAGCGAAGAAATAACTTATACATGAAAGAATGTTGATAACTTGTTGGACACGGTGAATAACAAACTAGTGGGCGGCCATAATTATAGAAGTGAAGTGAAGGTGAAGATGGTTTAATCCAGACATAGAGACTAATGATAAATATATCACTTCATTTCAAGCGAAGGTGGTCCTCTTAAACGCCAAACTAATAATCATCAAACAGCTCTAACGAATTCACAATCACACTTCCCAAGTCCTTAACAGTCATTATCAACCTCATTCAAATTGGTAAGGACTTTTAATTGGAAAGTGCAATAGAGAGACATTGAAACAAAACCAAGCTTAATCACCAAACAAGTAAAGGGGTCACAAAAGGTGGAAGATAGAATGATCCAAAGAAGAAATTACACTTGTCATCAGGCTGATTTAGGGAGGATTAGGACACACTCCGTCTTCCAAAAAACTAACAGCATATACAAGCTCCAAAATGCAATTTTCCCCTACTTTAGGATTAATGCGAGAACTTTTTAGTAACAAAGGGAGATTATAGATGATCTATAGAAGAAGTTATGACCTTCATGACATATGAAATTGGTTCATGGTTTAAACATTTTAGCGATCTATCATCTTTGTTTTATAAATGCTATAACGAAATACCTTGGTAATGTCGGTGATATTAGGGGTCATCTTTGCCCAAACTGGAACTGTGGCTACAGCATTGATCCATCCACAAACCTCCTCCAAGAGATCACAATCTTGACCAACAGCAGCACCCATTCTACGTTCTGGCATACCATGGGGACACGAGAAGTTGATTTCAAAGGCATCCTGAAAAACAGTATCAATATAGAGAGTCATAAAAACTAAAAAGAGAATCAATGCGACAACACTACTATAATGCAGAAAAAATCTTATCCATTAAGTCGCATATGCTTACAATTCCAGTTTCCTCACATCTGTAAATAAGTTCCTCCCAAGCAGCTTTGTTATATTCTTCCATGATAGAAGCAATTAGTATCCTATCTGGATACTCTTCTTTCAATTGCTTAAACTCTTTCAGCATTGTTTCCAGAGGTCGATCACTAATGAGCTCAATATTCTGCCACCCAATAATTTGTCCTTTGGCAGAACCATTTGCATCTGCTCTTAGTTTAGCATATCTAGGGGTCACATTTTTTACTTTATCGGCTTCCAAAGACACCTGAGGGAAGAAAAAAATAATTACTCCATAAAAAAGGAAAGTCTTTCTTCTCTGTTCTTTTCACAACAGAAATAAGTAAAAAAGTGTTGATCTCACTTTTCACAGATAAAAACATCCTTTATAAAATAAAAAAAAAGAGCTTCCACACTTTTCAGTTACAATTATTCCCTCTTGTTTCAATTTGTTTGTCCCATTTTGATTTGACACGGAGTTCAAAAAAGTAAAAAAGACTTTTGAATCTTATGTTTTAAACTAAAGATACGTAGAACAAAATGTCATTTAATCTTGAGCGTTTAAACATCTCATATGAAAAGTTGAAATCAAAGAGTTGTTAAAAAAGGGAAGAGACATTTTTAAGACAAACAAATCGAAACGGAAGGAAGTACTATTTACAGTTACTTGATCTAGAATCAGCACATGCAAAACTCCATAACAAGTTAAATGATAACTCCACACATACTGATCCAAGAACCTACATACATGATCTCAAGGTGGATCCAATGTTAATGTACCTGGTTCATCTCAACTACATACTTTCGACGCAGAGCATAAACTATGTGTAAAATTTTACTAAAATTGCAACAAATTTAAAAACACAGTGGGTTCAATGCAAGAACAGATTGAACTAATAGAATTTAAATCCTGGATCCACCTCTTAATGATCTCCAATCTCAGAAGATCTATAAGTTAATGTCATTTGAACAAACTTTACTAGAGCAGTTGCCATACTCAATTCGATGCAAATCAACAGCTCAATTTAGTTTCTTCTTTCATTTTACTCTTCCTACTTAATCAGACTTTGATAAAAAGATCGGAAGTACTACTAACAAATAACAGAAAAACTGGCACTAGATCCACCACAGAAAAAAAATATGGATTAAAAAAGGATCCATGAAAGAGGTGGTACTACTAAAGTCGAATAAAGCTTTACCGTTTTGGCGATAACACCACCCCAGCCTTCATCAAAGGCTCTCTTCATCACTGTATAGTTGGTCCCTGGTGGACCCGACCCAATAACAAATGGGTTAGGCATTTTCAACCCGTTAACAGTTACACTTAGATCGGGCTCCACTGATTGGCCCTCTAATGCCATAATTCTGAACCCAACTCGTTTTCTACCGAAATTTAACCGACCAGCCCGACCCATCACCGGGTTTTCAACACCCGAGTTCCCATCAAGTCCAATTCTGATTCGTTGAGCCAATCCAAGAGACGCCATAGCTGGGAGAAAATTGAAGAAGTTGGTTTCTGACTCAGTTGAAACAGGAAACAGAGGAAAAGATGAAAATGAATATCTAGGAATCTGAGTTGGGAGAATAAGAAAATTGTATTTCAATAGCTGTTGATTGGAGTTATCTAGTTGTAGTTTAGTAGAAGTTATCAAGGGAATAAAATTTGTTGTTTTTTTTAGATCAAGATTCACGTGTGTCTTATTTTTTTCTCAATTAGGTCTTTCAAATAAATATTAAAGGATTACTTATTTTTCAATTAATTATATAGCTTTCTTTATTTTCAAACGTAATATTATCACTTTATTTTTTTACTTATATACTATTTATGAAGATCGTTTTGAAATTACGATCAAAATGAAACTTAATAAATTTAACATTTACAATCTATTAAATGAGTGATAGTGCATTATTAATCAATATGTCAAATGTCAATATATATTTTTTTAGTAATTTTTTTGTTTGGACAGATAGTTAATATGTCACTTTCTACATTTTCTTGGAATACCAATGAGTTTGAATCTTTATATTACAACATATATTTCGATGTACTTTTTTTCTTTGAGTATATAAGAATTATATTATAAAGTAACTGAAAAATGCTAATAAAATACATCTACACGTCTTATTATTCTTTTTCATATTTATATGATAAAACTCCTTTTAATATTTCATTTTTCAATCGTTTTTGTTCCTTTTTCATATATACAATTTAAATTTGTATGATTTTTTCATGAATCACATCTATTGGTATTTTAGATTCTTTAGTTGCATTTATATCAAAGATACTTGTTATCATTTGTCAAATTTGTTTTTTAAGAATGTTATCCAAAATGTTACGCTATTATTAAGTTTCAATATATTTAACCTCGAATGAGAAAATATTTTTTTAGAAAAATTATTAACTCGTTTACTATATTTTAATATATATAGCTTTTATATGAAATATAAAGATAAATAGATTAATATAAACTACGTAGAAATATTTGATAGATAATAAACCTCTTCACATATTATGTGTATAGAATAATAAAATTCAAAAGTTAATTAAATTGAATACTCAAATAATATGTTTTCATTTCAAATATACTTCTTACATTCTCAAATCAATGATTGCACTACCCTAAGATATATACTCATTACTTAGTACATTAAAATAATTTAAATTTTTAATCATAATTTTGTGTTTATTTAATCATACTCATATGAAAAGTTTTTATGTACAAAATTTTGTGTTTTATTTTTAAAAAATATATTAAAAGTCAAATCAACTTATTTAGTCATTTGCATTAATCTTTTATTTAAAATTTTCAAAAGATACATATTTAACAAAAATAAATTAATTTATCAAATGCATGAATAAATTCTTTTGGCATATATGTTTGTCCAATTTTTAAATTTCATAAAATGTATATTAAATATTTATATTCACTATTTTATTTATTTTGACTGTATTTAATTATACTTCAAAAGAGTTACAAAATATAATTTTCATAGCATATAAAATACAAGTATTCAGTATTACAAAATATTTGCATGGAGCGCAATTAACATATAAGTAAACCAAAGCAAAAAGAGAACATTTTTGACTAAAAAATTTACAAAATCTTCAATTATGGGATCAATATTTTCATATATTAGATTTTATTTTTCAATTACTTCTAATAAAACGTGAAATAAAAAATAGATAAACTAAAGTGGGATTAAAAAACAATAAATAGAGAAAAGACATAAAGACATCATCGAAGTTGTCCCATATTTGCATAAAGACACCTAAACTTTTGAAGTGTCCCATTACCCCACTAAACAACTATATATCGTTGTAAATTGACCATTTTTACTCATTCCGTCGTCTATGTAATGCGCGTGTTGCTCACTCTCTAGGTAACCCGACCCGACCTTTTTTTTTAAAGAAAATTCGTGAACTCCTTTTCATTTCATTTCTCAACGTTTTCCTAAAAAATCAAACGAAATACACAGTGTTGCTGTTGACGATAGTGTTGTTGTTGACAATCTCGTTGTTGATCATTGTTGATGTGTATTTGTGAAGATTCTTGGAGATTGAAGGTCTAACATGTTAGGGTTCTAAAATCTTTACTTTTTTCGATTATTCTGATTTTATGGATTATTATAGTGTAGAAGTGTTAGAATCGACCTCCTACAGTTGCCATTGTTACAAATACGATTCAACATTGCATTTGCCATTTTCAATCAAAAACTAACCACAAAATTGAGAAGAAATTCAACCATAAAAAAACTTCAAATTAACGTTTATACTGGAAATTAAAAGAGAAAAGACGAATTCCTACCTTATTTTCTTGAGGAAGATGATGAAGTCGTCAAAAAGAGAGAACCAATATTGCTCTTGCCATGGAAATCAAAATTTTAGGGTTACCAAAGGCTATTTTTGAGTTTAAATTGGGGAAGATACAAAAATTGATTAAGTAATTAATATTAAAGAAAAAAAATGACATATGGCTGTTTTAAACTGGTAAATAAAAAGAAAAAATGGTCCATGACGCGCCTAACGTGCGTGTAAACAACCCAGATGAGTTAATGGGTAAAAATGACCAATTTACAACGATATATAGTTGTTTAGTGAGGTGATGGGACACTTCAAAAGTTTACGTGTCTTTATGCAAATATGGGACAACTTCGATGGTGTCTTTATGTCTTTTCTCCAATAAATAAAATAACAAAAACATGATTCATCAAATTATAC